CCACCCCCGCCGCCGGGGGGGGACCACCGCCAAGCCCGCTGAGCCCCCCACCAGCCCCCGGACCCCCTGCCCCCTCGTGCTGGGAGCAGAACCCGCCCCACTTCCCCGGGCGCAACGCCCTTCCCTTGGCAAATGCTGATTTCATCAGCCCGGAAGCCGTAACAACGCCAAGAGGGTGACGGTATTTTTCTTTGCAATTAAAACGGTGTATGAAGCACCATCCCATGAAGACCTGTCAGCTGATGGGGAGCACTAGCAGCCCCAGCCCTGCGCAGCCAGCAGCCTCCAAGGGCCCCCCAAATGTCGCTCTCCGCAGGTCGAGCAGTGCCCTCAGGTGGCCAAATGGATTCCCTAGGTTTGAGACCTGCTTCACCATAAAAACAGGGAGCACAAGCACATCTACAGTCTGCCCAAGTCCAATTCTTTATTTGGCCTTCCCTGCGAAGGTTCTTACCAGATATGTCATCTGGAGACGGGCATCCCCACCACTTTCTGGGAACATTACAGAGGATCAGTGTCATGGCCAACAAAAGATGTCCCTAGAACTGTCAGCAGCTGCTGCTGCCACAGACCATTAAGTTTTAACACTGTGATTTAAACATGCCCTAGCAGAGAAATCAGAGAAGCATACTCTAACACACCTGAAAACTGCCTGTGTCAGAATTCAGGTGTCCGTGCACCTCCATAATTACATTTTCAAGCCAAATTTGCTCCTTCCTCTTCAATGTACAGGTGGGATGAAAGCCAACACATTGCTCACAGGCATGAGGTGCAAACTGGTTTTGAGCCCTGATTTACATCTTTTATTTATCTATAAGGACGGTACCTAAACATCTTTCTTACATGGTATCAGCCTGCTGGACCTTATGTTATGCTTACTTATTTGTGGCACACTTCACCGTTTCTTCGTAAGTTAGTAAGTCTCAACATTTTTTTCAGTATACAAAATATCCACGGCAGGCAAAAGAAAGGACGACTTCCATAGCTGAAGATGACTCCCTTCTACCTTCACGGCTTGTTCAGCTCAGCCTCTTCTTCAGACACCAAGTCCATTTCCACTTGAAAATGAAACAGTCCAAGCATTTCCTGCTGAGGCCAAGTACCCAACTCGTTCAGCTTCCAAAAAGCACCAGTAAAGCTTCCTCAATTCACCATCCTCTTTGTGGTCATCTCGGAACATACCAGACTCTCGTAGAAGCTGGTCAACATCAGTCCCTCCTGTTCTCTGTCAGGAGCCGGGTGAGCAGCACAGCTCTCGCTGGTTGTCCACAAACAGAGAGATCTTAAGAAGCGTATCTGAGTTGGAAGGCAAAAAATAACCCCGTTAGCTTAATGCATTTTATCTGTATTCTGTGCCCACAAAAATTTAACTTGTTTCTAAATGCAGTAAAGAAAAACATAAGCAAAGCTAACTTAGCAGACCAAGTGAAAAGGATCACTAAGCCCCTGTTACTGCGAGGAAGGATGTGGCTTCCAGCTGCGCCCAGGGTGCGACGGCGAGTATTTACAACTGAAGTCGTTCACGAGATCTCACAGCAGGTCGCAAAGAACAAGCGCAAACCGAGCAAGGTCGCCCACTGCTACCGAGACCAACACAGCAAGCAACACCGGGCCTGCGTGCTGCCTCCAGGGCTGAGACATCGGCACGGAGCTCATCAAAAGACCCTTTGGGTCTGCTGTATGCGGAACTACCTTGAACAACGTCTTCCTTGTAGCGCTCCAAAATCCTCTCCCAAGACTGTGGGAGGGCTTCCATGTCTGCCAGGCTGTCACAGCTGACGCGGAGGAGGAGAAGCTTGCTCTCCAGGTACCTTCATGCCCGGTAAGGACGACAAAGAGAAGAAGGCACCCGCCAGCGCTGCCCGGAGAGCCCCACCGCGGAAGGATACAGGTGCCGGTAGTAGCGCTCCACGTCCTGCAGCCCCTCCAGCGCCTCGGCCAGCGAGGGGCAACGCGGCCCTCGCCGC